TCTCTGAGACTTGAGTACCTTAAGTTCCTACACAGTTCCCATTACCATAACAGCCAAATGTCTCACTGTTGTTGATTGTATTGATCCTCAGAGCAGTTCCATGAGGGTGGAGAAGCAGAGGGAGAGAGAAATCTGTTATTTATTTGAGATCCCCCAGGAAGCAGATATTAGATCCTGGTCTTCTGACTACCATCCCCTCAGATGTGCACTCTCCCAGCTTTTCTTGCTTGGCAATGCCCTCATGTTAAATGATTCAAGCAATGGGATTTCCAGTATTCTCTCTGGGATCATTACAGATTCATACAGGCTTTCTGTGCTATAAAGCACTGAGCTCGTCAGCACAAATTTCCCTTTGCTCACTCTAACCCTTTCCTCTCCTTGCCTACATCCCTCACCCAGCAGATAACTCCTGATGGCCATGCTGTCTGCAGTTTGCTCTGTGCATCCTGAGATTTAGCTCTCCTGGCACCCAGCCCTGCAGGTCCCTTCTGCCTGGGCAGGAGCTGGCTTCATGCTTTGGGCTTCCTCAGGCAAGCAGCCAGGCCTCAACACTCAACCCCTCTCCCTGTGATAAGCAGCATTTGAAAATCTGAGTGTGGCTGAAAATGCAGCCGAAGCCAGAAGATGAAATGTGCCATTATTTGGGTTTCACAGCTGTGCAGTGACCCTGTGCTGCCTCTCACCCAAAATGATGATCTGCCCGTTTCCCTGCTCCCTGATTCAGTGCACCTGCACTCAGTCCAGCTGCTGTTTCTGCAGAGGTTTTAGGATGCACACGGCAGCCTGAACGCCTTTCTGTTAATGTCAGACCCCTGAACCCCAGCTCTGCACCTCTGCTGGAGCATCTCTGTTACTCTCCAGGTATCTCCAGCACTCTCCATTAACAACTTTGACTTTGTGGGTTCTGTGGCCCAGCTGGGAGGCTGTAGGGGAAATGAGGTGAAAATCTGTGGGGGTGTGATATCAAACTAGGGGATTATATGTTCCCAACCTTAAAAATTATTGACTGTAACTTAAGGGAAAGCAGAGCCATAAAAACTCTTGAGAGTAAAGATGAGTCCTGGTCTCACCTCATGGCCCACTCTGGGTTGCTCCTTTCACTTCCACCAGATGTTTGTGGCTGTTCACATCCTTCTGTGGAGCAGGATGAGTTTGAGCAGCCTTGTCCACCACCCTGTCTCTAATGAATTTCCAGCCAGTGTGAATGTAGCTGGCAGGCCTTGCAAGACTTTCCATCACAGGACAGCTTGGCAGGGACACGGTAGGACAGCAGGAGATGATGGGCCCTCTGGCAGCTCTCTGATGACCACTGGGATATATCTACAAAACAGCCAAAACCCAGCAGTGGGCAGGCAGCCAGGGCTCCTTCTGGCTGCTGTTGATTACTGATCCTTTCACCTTGGTTGCTTCCATTTAATATTTCAGGGCTGTATTTGTTCCTTCATTACACAGAGATATCCTGTCTCATAGTGACGAGGTCTGGCTAAACACCTAGGCTATGCATTAGGTATTGAAAATGATTGCAAAAGCTGTCTATAAAAGTTCCTAGTGTGTTAAAAAGTGAAGGATTAAATGGAAAATTTTCCTGGAGAAATTAAACTGCATTCAGAAGCCCCCCCAAACCCACTTCCACTCTGCTGAATAATAGCACAGAAAGAAAACTGCCCTGTAAGCCCCTATGAAATGAACTGTCCTCGTTGAGTTGCATGTAGGAAATGTGGGATGAAACTGAGCTCCATCATTTTTTTCTGGGAGAAGACCCTGTTTAATTATGGTTTGTTCTCTGGAGAGTACAATGTCTACAGGAACAGTGGCTTTGGGGAAACTGGGAAAGAGCTGCAGGACTGTTTTTGTACCTGATTTTGGCTCAGATTGTGTCCACAGACAGCTCTGTGCTTCACTTTCTGTGTTTGTAAGGGGACCTGTGGAGTCCAGATGGGAGCCCAGAGAGCTCATAGCCCCAGGGGCAGCTACTCTTCCCCACATCTCTTCTAAGCAGTGATTGCCAGCTGCCTGCTCCAGAGCTGACTGCTTTTTCCTTTTATTGCCATAGTTACCACGGGAACTATGCTTGGCATCAATGGAGCCATGGAGCTGCTTTTCAAAGTCATCACTCCCTACAGCAAGAGACACGTCAGGACGGTCAGGTAGGCAGTAGCCCCAAGGGAACTCATCTTTCCAGGACAGCAAGAAATAAAATTTTGGTTCCACTTGAAGAGGCAAAGAAATCAGAAATGTATGCAGTTTCCACTCACTTTAAATCTGCAGGGTTTTTTAAGAGGCAGAAATAGTTCCCCGAAGGACACGCTAATGCTGTGATTCATCATATGATTCATGCTGGTGGCCCTTCATTTGTAGTGTGCCCTAGACAGGGATGGCAGTTTGATTGCAAGGTACCTTCCTTCATTTCCCAGCCACAACTGGGTTTTGAGAAGCCTGTACTGGTAGCAAAAAAGCCACTCCTGCCTCCCACTCAGCAATAACCTCCTGCCACCACCAGCCTGGGGGCAGGTGGAGTGGAATTGTGGCAGTGCTGCCTCATCCTCCATTTGCAGAGTCATGACCTGGTCATCATGATATTTTTGAAGTATGACAGTTCTTACTAGTATTAATCTGTGTCTGCTTTTAAGCCCATCCCACATATTTCAAATAGTTCTTTTCTGAAGACATCAAGTCCATTTTATATCTTCATCTTGCTGCTGAACATTAGTCCTCAAGTTGTCTGTTCTGACCACTTCCTCAAATGCCTTTCAAGGCAAATTTTATAAGAGCATAACACATATCTCTGGCTTGCTCTTTAAAAGCAGGACAAAGAATTTCCTACTGTGAGCTGTGCCCACACAATCTTGTTTGCTTAAACGTCCCAGAACCATGCAGTTCTCCTGCTGGGACATGCAGTGGCTTCTGGGGCACAGTCCCTACTTGCTCAGGCACTTGTCAGCAAGGACATGGCAGCATTCAGCCAGTTCTGCATGTACCTGGCATGGGTGAGGTCCATGGCTGGTGATGACTGGGGAAGCAGCTTCAGGTAGAGCATGAGGTGAGAAGGATGGACAGACATGGCACAGCAGTTTGGCCATGGTTAGCTTAGCTGTGGTTGAAGTGGGGGTCAGTCACCCTGGATGCATTAAATAATGTCCACCCTGTTGTTACCATCAAAGACCTGGACCAGTTCTCTCAATATCATGTGTTACACAATAACTGGGAAGGAATTTCAATTAATTTCCACCTGCCACCAGTGCTGAAGCTGCACATCAACACACAATACTGCTGTTTGCCAAGTGTAGCTTCCTTGCAGTTCCTCTGCCTTCTTGTCTGGCGACACACAATTTTTTGGACAGTTTACTTTTGTAAATAAGATACTGAGGGGACCCAGCAGATGCACAACTTCCTGCAGTTGCCTTGTGAATGGGAGCCAACTCACTTTTACCTGTGCTTTTGGCTTTCTAGCTCAGTGCCAGGTACCTGGTACGGCTTCACAGCTTCAGTTCTCTCGTAGATGAAGAACCTGAGATTCCTCCACATGGGGATACCAGGATGTTTCCTACACAGACATTTGGATATTACCCAACTCAAAGAATATTACCACTACGATATTATTCCTAGGATATCTGAGCATTCTTCAACATTCCCCTCAGGCCTCATGTGATTTAGGCCTGGAGATTTAGGCAGCCTGAAGAACAGCTTTATGTATGGCAGGGGTGCACAGGATGGGTTAGACCCAGAGCTGGACTTGGCTTCTGAGGCAACCAAAAGTGATTGATGCTCAATCAAGCCCATGCTTAGCTAAGAAAATTCCACTAAATTCCCTGTTTTCCTTCCTGTGGAAGTGCTGGCTGTATTTAGACCAGTGTTCTGCTTCTGTGATAGGCCAGGATCTGTGTGTGATGGGACTTGGGCCTGTACCAGTTTTCTGTTAAGCAGTGGGACTGGCTAGGCAGTTAAGTTAAGGCTTTTAAAATGAATTTTGTGCAAAAGTGCTTTATTTTCCATTGACCTTTTCCCATAGGGGGAATGGAAACCTTGATATCTGTCACACCTCTCTAGCCTGGCTTCTTGCTGAGATACACTGGGAGATGCAGGGACTGTTGCTGTAAATGAAGTCTGTAAAGTGCTCTAAAATACTCACTTCTAAGGGAAACAACCAGAGAAACATGCTGCTTTTGATTTCAATGATTCCATATTGTCAATATGCAACATTTAGCTTTTACTTCCTTTTGTTTGGTGTACAAGGATTGTTTTGAATTCTTCTGTGGACATTTTTTTCCATTTGGTACACAAACACCAGAAAAGCAAACTCAAAATTGCCCTCAGTAAAACCCATTTTATAGTAAATATAAATATATAAATATAAACAGATAAATAAGCCTTTTTATTTATTATGGAAAAGCTTGCACTTATTTTTCATTTGAAAAAAGGTGTCTTGTGCATCAATTTTTATCTACCTGAGCTTTCTCACTGCTAGTTCAGTTTCCTAATTTTCCTTTTATTTCCTAAAATATTTGTGCTCTTCTTAAAACATATTTTTCATGAATGTGCAAATGGCACATACAATCTTTTCTGGCACCCAGCTGGCAGGAAAAGGTGATTTGGCTCCCACCTGCTCTTGGTCTGATGAACAAGAACCATAAATCAGCTCAAGCCTGATGGCCACTCTGCTGGCCTGCCCAGGGCTCAGAGCTGTGCCTTTTGTTTCATAGCTAGGGGCAGCTGAGAAGCTCAGTGGCACAGTGGAGACAGCTGGTTTTACACCAGGAGAAACACACCACCCTGTTTTGTTTTGAAACACAATTGCAACCCATTAAAAGGCACTTGTTTCTTGTTAGTTGGTGGAGGTTTTGTTTGTTTGTAGTTCACTTGGAAGTGCTGCTTTCATTGTGGGAAGTGGTTTTAGGAGATATTATTGGCAAGAATTTGGGTCTTGAGTCCAGAGGAACAGACTGTAGAGTGGGTTACAGACCTTCTCTCCCAGCATCAGCAAATGCTTGGAATAGCTGCAGTCTGAAAGCCCTAAGCATCTTTGCAGTTCATCAGAAAGTGGAGGTAGGTACATGTGGGGAGAATGTCCTTCTGTGATTTGAGTTGGTCTAGCTAAAAATTTGTGAGGTGACTGGGGCACGGAGCTTATGGATGGGTTTTCTGAGCTAGGGAGAAAGGATAAAATGTGCTTTGTCTAGCTCAGCATGTGCTCCCAGCTATCTGACACTGGTGCAGCTCTTCCCAAAGTGGCTGTGGCTATGCTGAAATTTGGGATGTGGTAGTTTGGTGTGGTTCTTGGTCACAAAAACCTCTGCTTCTTTTTGGCGACCTGTATGGAAGTTGTAGCGCGCATCAGCCTCTAACCTGCCTACAGAGGAAAACTCCAATGTTGTCCCAGAAATCCTTTCACCCTTACTTTGTACTTGCTCTTGATACCTTCTCTCCACCTCATAACTATGTGCCACCATGGTTTGCCTTTTTGCTGGGAGAGAACAGCCGGCAACTGTGGGAGCTGAGATTACCCTGCCTCTCTGATCAGCTGCCAGGAATGCAGCACTGAGAAGGCACCACCACTTCTCTGGTGGGCACACCCGCGTTCCCCTGTCCTGGGCAGCAGCAGGGCCAAGGTCACTTTAAGAATCTGCCCTGGAGAGTGCCCTGTGAGAGCTATTTATTTAGCGCGCTAAGATGTGGAAACAAGATACATAGTTCTATTTATTTTTCCCAGTGGTGAAGCTCTGGGGTATTTAGAAATAGTCTCCTCATGCTCCAATTGACCTTCTCTGGGTATGTGCCAAGTAGCTCTGATTCCCCTGAGACTGTGACTCATGGGCTTTATTGGCTTTAGTTAGGCATTTGAGGTCTTCAGCTTGCTGGTGCCATGACTGTGGATCTCTCCAGAGCTATCCATATCTGAGGTAAATGCTGCATGGGAAAAACACCAACTCTCTGAGGTGTAGGGAACTCTTGAGTCAACCACTGTGAAATCCAAGAGAGTCAGAGACTTAAGGCTGTCTTGCCCATCTCTCTTGATGTTGTGCTGCAGAGAAGGTTTTCTGATACCTCTTACAGGGACAGTTTAAAATAAAGCCAGATGATGTTCTGCTTTTCTCAGCTCTGTTTATGTCAGTAGCTGGGATATCTGATAGGAGTGTGTGTGGGATGCTCAAATCTTCACTCCATCAACACCTTCTCTAATGTAGCATCTCTGATGCCTCACACAGTGCAATGATCACTGCTCTTTTCACCTTTCATCCTTATTATTCCCTGTATGTTCCACAGCTTCTACCCCCTCCTACTTTCCAGTGTCCCTTTCAACACTGTTGCTTGTTTTCCCAACTTGTTCTGAGGAGTGTTTGGGTGTGTTTTGGAGTGTGACAATGGAAGATGTTTGCTCTCTAGTCAGGCAGGCGCTGGTTTCTTCTGCATGACTGTCCAGGTTGTCAGACACCAGCTATCCTCACCAGTGGCTTTGAAGGCTCTGAGTTACATGTTGTGCTGGCTCTTCTAGGACTCCTCGTGTTGAAGACAGAGTATAAAAGAGGGTGAAAACAAAACACTCAGAATTTATTCTCCTTTCATAAGAGGAAGACCTGTGCTTTAGAAAATGGCAAACAGTGGGGTGACTGGTGCATTGGTTGTTCCCTTCATTCTGTTCTCCTTTTCTGCTGTTAAAAGGTTGGTGCACAGTTTGATTAAAGCAATTTGGAGAGTCTTTTAAAATGCCTTTGTTTTTCAAACCTCTGTGAGCACATCTATTTATCATACTGAGCAGAGCTGGCTCATAGTAAGTGTTCATGTAAACCTCGTATGAAAGATTACAACAAGAGCAAGTATTCATCAGAAATAAAAACTCTTTCTGTGGGTAATCAGAATACTTGGCTTTTTACATTGGGCTATTCCAGTAAAGTTTGACTACTTAATTAAAAGTGGAAAGTGAATAAAAAAGGTCTGGGAATGGCGCCAAATTAATTCACTAGAAAATGTGATATGCAGAAATTATCTGCCTTTGCTCATGTCCAGCATTACCCACTTCTGACATTTGATCACAATTCTTCTTATGTTTGGTGCTTATTGGATAGTCCCAGTGCCTCAAATGCTTGCTGCTAATCTCCCTTTTCATTAAAGGGAGGAAATCCTCCCATGTAACTCTATTTCACCTGAGGTGGATATCTGGATTCCTCACATACTGAAGAGAAAAAGAAGCAAGTTCTCTTCACCTCTGGTAAATGTTTGCCTCTAGAAACCTGGGGTCTTGAAAATGTTTATTTCTCTCTGTGCAGTGGAGGATGAGTCTGCAGTGGGAAAACTGTAAGTGGCATAATGGGCATTCAAAGCTGGGTCAAGTAGAAGGTTGCTGAAAGAGATTTATAAAGTGGAGTCAAATCCATCTGGTGCCAGGTCTCAAAACCCAGGAGGAGTGAGAATACCACAGGTGTCTTTTCTTTGCTGATAAGTGCTCAGGGGTGATTTGAGGTGGGGGGGATTCATGAGCCTGAAACATGCAGGAATATTGATGGCACTGTTGCCATGGCCATGAAGTGATTCCTGTATCACACGTACTTCTGTCATAGTGGGAGCTGTGGAGATTTTTACTCACTACAGGAAGCAGAGCTCATGCAAGTGGAAAGAGAAATGCTGAGGTGATCAGGACAGCACATCTAAAGCTAAAAGCCATATTTAATCAGATATTGTGTCAGATTGACCAAGGAGAATATGAAGACCCTGGAAATGCTGCAGACATAAGTTGTGGCTGTACATAGCCGCAAATTAAGCTTTGAATGTAAGATTATATATTACTCTGCTTTTTTATAAAACCTGTTTTGTTTGCATACAACTGGGATTCTGTTTTCTCATCTTGAAACTGGTGCTTTCAGTGCAAGGTTAAAATTTTGAGCCCATAGTGTAGAAAAGAGACCTAGGTGCCACATCAAAAATGCTTGTACAGGTGCTCTCCTGACCTTAACACCGACAGAAGAAACAGCAGTGGGCTGTGTCTGGTTTAGACAAAGAGAGAGGAGATGTGTACTGGGCATGACCTGAATACTGGACTTACCTCCTCTGCTGAGAATGATGGAGAGGCATATGGAAGAGATCCAACTGCAAATGTGCCCTGGACCCCAGTGCAGGCATTTAGATTTTTCCCTATCCTTGATGCTGGATAAGGTTATTGCTGGTGGACCATCATAAACATTTACTGCAGTTCCATCTCCTGGCCTGATCTAAACTTCCAGTTGCTCTCTTCTTGAACAGAAGAATATGTGGCATATCTGGCCACTGCCAGACTGTATTTTGAGAAGGAGCAGAAACTCAAGGCACCGACATGGTGATTAGTTCTTCTTCAACCTGATAGGGAAGCTGTTGTGATGGGTTCAGCTTTATGCCTTTGTTTATTTGGCAATGGTTCTTGATAGTAGATCAAAAGCAAATCATTCTTAATTCCTCTTGTTAGTCTGTGTTTTGTCATTAATCATGTTGAACAGTCTGGATATTTAATTGGAAAGTAACACATGATTCTATTGGAATGTGGTCAGAATTAATCAATGCTTAGCATTTTGAGAATAAACAGATACTATTGGGTTCTCTTGATTCGTGTAGAAAATTCACAGGAAGGAAAGAAACATTTCAGTTGAGCTACATCACAGCTAAATGACTTGCTTCCCATCTGGCCTTGATCTACATGGGATTTATCCTAGAAGTCCTGTTAAATAAAACTACAAAATACCATTCTGAATGAGATGATGCCAGCAAGAAAGGAAAGAGTGTTTTCTTGAAAATTTTTATTTCTATAAGGTGTGTCTTCAACTTGACTAAAATCTCAGATAAAATGAAGCAGGGATGGTTGCATCACTGAGATAAGTAAATAAACCCTACTGTGCAAATTTATTGCAATGAGCCATTGTAATAGAAGAAATGATCTTGGAGCCAGAGGTGTCCCAGTTTCATGCAGTTCCTTCTCTTTCATTATTTTTACGGTCTGTGTGGTTTCTCTCAAGGAATGACCTGTTCTAATATCAATAATCAGTTACAAAATCTCATTTCAGACTGGTGGTATGTCAGTGCTGCTTTGCAGAACAAATTGAGTTGCATTTCAGGATTACACTTTACTGGGATTGTACTGTTAATAGCAGTAGATGAGAGAAATTGAAAAATTAAGAGGTAGAGACAAGGGAAAAAGAGACGTTTTCAGGTGAGATTTGAAAATAGATGAGGAATTGATGAGGCAGAGAGGAACAACATCTCCCAAGGTTGTTCCAGAGGTCTGGGTGAACACGTGGCACACAGAAATCCTGGTGCCATCTCTTGGTAGCCTTTGGAATGGCATGTTCCCCACAGATGGACCCACCTCTGAGGCATTAAAAATGGGTAAATGAGCATTATATAGAGAGAAATTTACTTCTGAGATTAAGTTTTTATGTCATGGGAAGGGAGGAACCGATTTATAAATGGAGCCGCTTCGTGAGACTGTTATTTTGAAGGAGACGTTTGCCTTTTTCTTTTAGATCTAGTTTATGTTTTACATCTATTTCAGGTCAGAGTTTGAAAGAAAAACAATGCTTTCAGCTTAAGGCCTTTCTTTGCCTGCTCATTATTTCTCCCCTTTGGTGAGCTGGAGTACTATATTTGGATGCTGTGAGGGCAAGTTCCTGCTGTTCTCAAGTTCTTGGCTTTTCACAGCCAGTGGCTATGGCAGATGCAGTTTGTGGCTGGTTTCATGTGATGGCTTTGGGTACATCCATACTGCAGGCAGTTCTGGGTTTGTTGGGCAGGAGATTCCCTCTGCCTGAGCTTTAGTCTTCCTCCTTCTCCTAACAAATACTCAGGCCTGCAGCAGGGCCTTCAGTGTGAGCTACCAAGCTTCCTAGGCCATGTTATCCAGTCTGGGAGTGTTATTCATGTTTCTGTATCTGTCTTGCTGTTGGTGTTCATCGTAACTGGATTAAAAGTGACACCTGGGTGCCTCACTGCAATCCTACTGCCTCCTAGGACCTCTCTGAGGTGTATATCCCCTGTAACCATGGGAGCTACTGTCACTCCCATCCAAATAGGAGGTGTGACTTGAT